ATGCTAAACTTTAGTTAACAATGTATCAATTTTGGTTCATTAATGTATCAAATGCACCATACTAAAAAGTAAGATATTAACAATATGAGAAACTTCACCAGGGAGTATAGGAATTCTCAGTTTTCTCAATTTTTCTGCAAATTTTTGTGCTCCCCCCCCAAAATGAAACTATTTAAACAGTAGTGTCAAGAACTGTCACATCTGGAAGTTAGTTACCTATTCCACCCTAAGAGATGTTCTGTTCCTTCAGAGATCTATAAACAGCCTCTTTGTTAAAATCTTTGGTGTGATATGCCTTTGCATCAGAGTGTATTTACTTGGTGTATTCCAGGGTGTATCTTTTGACTTCCTATCATATGAATAGCAGTTCTACCAATCTGTATTTTATTTCTTGGTGCAGATCCAGGTTGTTGTGTTTTGTGTGTGTTTTGATACTGGGGATTGAACCCAGGGGTGATTAACGACTGAGCCACATCCCAGCCCTTTTTTAAATTTAGAGACAAGGTCTCAGTAGTTGCTTAGGGCCTGGTTAAGTTGCTGAGTCTGGCTTTGAACTTGCAATTACAGGCATGCACCACCAAGCCTGGCCACTGTGTTTATTTATTAAGAAAGTTAAACATACTAAGGAATCTTCCAGTTCTAGCACTCCCCAGAACTTTTCTCTAAGGTGAAAAGGATCCAGAAACTAAAAAAAATGAAGGTCATGTTGATGATTTCAATCCATTTGACTGTTTTTCAGTCTTTTACCAAAATAACATACAATACCGGTTTTACATTAAGTTTAGAAATGGGGAAGGAATATGTCTGTGCCTCAATAATGAGAATCATGGCTCTGAGTATGTAAAGGTGGGGATGAGAATATAAAATAACTTTTTCCTTGACATGCAGTGGTCTGACTTGGCCCTACTGATATTTGCTCTTTTGTCCTTTCCACAGTTATAATGGAGAACTTACTGTGTGCCAGGTCTTGATCCTTGCCTGGCCTTGTAGAGTTAAATTCTTGTGGGAGAGAGAGGTGAAGGACAAATGAACAAATCTGAAATAATTTTAAACTGCAGTATGGCACATAAGGAAAGCACCAATCGACCCGAGGAAAGTATAAYATATGGGACAGAATGGTCAGGCTACCTCCCAATTAAGTGAATCACAGAAGTTCTTTGAGGAGACATTTAGGTAGAAACCTGCRAAAGTGAAGGAGCTGTTTATACAAGAAGCACGAGAAATAGTATTCTAGGCAGAGGAATCGGCTTGTACAAAGTTGATAGATAATTTCTCTGAAATGACCCTGTGCTTTTTGAARATTTGTTTATTTTATAGCAGAATGCATTTTGGCATATTGTACACAAATGGAGCACAACTTCTCATTCCTCTGGCTGTACATGATGCAGAGTCATTCCAGTAGTGTAATCAGACATGTATATAGGGTAATAATGTCTGTCTCATTTTACTGACCTTCCCATCCCCACAGTCCCACCCCT